GGATTATATTGGTGAACTTTCAGGGAACAGCTTCTGTTCCTTCCATTTTCCCAAAGAATTATATAGAAATTATCTTCATTGCTGGGTTTGGTGGCACACACCTTTAATCCCAGCACTTGGAGGGAGAGGCAGGTGGATCTCTGAGTCAAGGCTAGTCTGGTCTACAAAGCAAGTCCAGAACAACCAGGGCTCTGTTACACAGAGAAACCTTGTCTCAAAAGCCAAACCAAATCAAAGAAAACAAAACCTAAACAAACAAAATTATCTTCATTGCTACATAACAAAAACTAAGTCACTGGAAATGGAAAACACTTATCTCACAGTTCCTGAGGGGAACTATCAAGGAGTGGCTGAGCTGACAGTTGTTACTCAGAGTCTTTTAAGACAGGAAGACCTGGTATGGCTTCAGCTTAGGCTCATTGTCATTGATATTGACATGAGGGCTCTGGTCTGTTCTGCTTTCTATGGAAAGAAGTTCTGGGATCAAATCATTGGGTCACCCTTTTCTTGCTGTGAGGAAACCACCGGAGAAGACTGCTAAGAAATGGGTTCAAGCTAATATAAAATCTTTATTAGCTGGCCATTGACTGGCCACTGGGTGTTCAAGACCCCATTGCACTTCCAAGCCTTTATCAGATTGAGCTTTTAAGCATAAAACCCACATCCTGGTTCCACACACCTCAGTCAGACAGAAGCAGAACTACAGATTCCCTGGAACAGGAGTTATAGACAGTCGTAAGCTGACATGTGGGTGCTGAGAATTGAACCCAGGTCCTCTGAAAGAGCAGCCTGTGCTCTTAACCGCTGAGCTGTCTCTCTATCCCTCCTCCACACTTTTTTTTTTAATCAGGAAAAAAAAATCCTCCCCCCAGGACTTCTTCCCAGTCACTTTCCCACATTGAGACAAAACTTGGTGACTGTCACCTTCGTGGCTGCCTCTCTTGTTGCGCCTATTATATCCGAGGATGGACTCGGATATCACTTCTAACCAAAGCAAAGCCAACCCTATAATTTGAGGAAGTATGAATGTCTATACCTGGGTTAGATGAAGGACTTGCGAAATGAACTTGTTCAGGGCTGCCTGAGCTAGGAAGTGATACTACTGAACCACACCTTTCACAAGACAAAACAAAACAAAAAAAAAACACACAACACAACTCTGTAAATAAATATTCTCTAGTGTACTAGAGAATACTGTAGTATGGACGTCAAGGCTGAAGCCCTAGGACATGTCACACTTCATCCCCCACCATAACCTCCAGGATCAGCTCTGCTCCTGGAGCAGATTACTGGAGTCAGCAGTAGTTAAAGCACACCAGCAAAAGCTCAACAGCGAGCGGAGTCATGGAGTGACAGCAGCAGTGGGCCACATGAGTACCTTGGGCTCCTCGGCCTCTAAGGCTGGGAACAGCAAAGCTGGGCAGCCAAGTAAGTGGAAGCACAAGCCGGCTGGAACACTCTCACAGCTGGCCTTGCCCAGGATCTTCGGGTCGGCGCAGTGCCACTGCTAGAGCGGCGAGAGCCGGAGTTGGTTCCTGCAGTGGTGGTCCTACACACTTCTCAACCTCCGTGCAGTGTCACTCACACACCACCTGTCACTGGGCCCTGTAGGTTTTGCAAATATCTCACAGTCATCTCCAGGATGTCAGCTGTCTCTAGTTTGTGTGCCGGGAGCACTGGAGGCAGGAACACAGCATGGGTGGCAAGCCAGAGAGGTACCCTACCTTCTTGGATTTTAGGCTCTGAGAGCCACAGTAAGCCCTGAGAACTTGACTCTTCGAGTGTTTCATCCCACCTCCCTCACCCCCATCTGCGTTCTTGTTGATAGTCTGGAGCAAAACCATTCTTGCAATTATATGTGCTCACTGCCCCTTCTCCACAATCAGCTTGGAGGACTATTAGGTGGAGCAGCGGCTAAGGCTGGTGCTTCATTAGTGGTGAGACTCTCACCTTCCCTGGGATGTCCACAGTCTACCTGGGGCCCTAGTGAGCACAGAGTTGGTGAACTCCTACAAGGTTGAACCTCAACCCAGTTCAAGGGCTTAAATAAGGCAGTAGAGCGTCGGGGCCTATGAACTCTTCCTGGCTTCAGTTCCCACATTCCTCCCAGCCAATGGGAGGCCGGCCTACCGCCTGCCCTTTCCAGCTGTTTTGTGCAGCCAATACTGACTGGTGACAAAGGTGAACCCAATGCCAAAGTCCATTACCGAGAGGGCAGTGCACCAAGAGAAGAGCACTCTGGTTAGTAAGTGGGCCGGGCGGAGGCTCCTGGCTCAGGTCTACTCTGCAAGGAAACACTGGTAGATAAAGGATGCAGTTCATGATCACCTTGTAAGAAATCCAGAAGGAAATTTCTTCAAAGGTTGGAAGACAAATTCTCAGGACTGAGAAGCTCAGACCCATTGATCTCCTCATGGTCTCACCCAAGGCTCTAGTAATTTCAAGTCACCTCCTTGTCTGTTCAGCTGAATTTTATTTGCTCATGTGCAGTATAGTTTCCAGCTAGGAGCCTGTAACACAAAGGCTTTGGAACAAGCTTTGGTAGAAATGTGAACTAAACCTCACCAAGGCTAGAGGGAGCTCAACTGGTCCCTGTCAGCTATCTGACAGGTGATATCAGCTGATACCACAAAGCAATGGAAGGACAACTTCATGTAAGGTAAAGATATCAGTGATGACAGAAACCAGATGATGTCATGGAGCTAATGATATATTATGGATTATCCCACTGCTAACTAAGTCCAGCAAAGAAGAACTCAAAAAAGTTAGGACAGGGAGGCATAGTTTCACATGCCTTTAATGCAGCAATTGGAAAGCACAGGCAGGAAGATCTCTGTGAGTTCAAAGCTAGCCTGGTCTACACAGTGAGTTGCAGGCCCTATCTCAAAACACAAACCCCTTCAAAAATTTTGAGAAATTCAAAATCTTTCTTTCTCCCCCCCCCCCCCCCAGAGGAGTATAAGAAAAACAGGGCCATTATTATTTTCATGGTTGCAATTGGAACTCACTCTGTAGACCAGGCTGACCTTGAACTCACTGAGATCCACCTCCTGAGTCCTGGGATTAATGGCATACACCACCACTGCCTGGTTTGAAAATGCCACATTTCATTTAGTTTTTTGTTTGTTTGTTTGTTTTGGTATCTATTATTTACTTGAGACAGGGTTTCCCTGTATAGCCCTGGCAGTCCTGAAACTCTCTTTGTTGACTAGACTGGCCTTAGACTCACAGGGATCCATCTGCCTCTGCTTCCAAGTGCTGGGATTAAAGACATTCGCCACCACCGCCCAACTTGAAAATGCCTCTTCTGTTGAGTGGTTCTAAGGCCTTCACAACTGGTTCTTCAAAGAGAGGAAGCTTTCAAAAGGTCAGGTGGAAGGAATGGCACTTCCAGAGTATTCTAGAAAGGAGATACAGTGAAGAAGCTAGGGACTGCAACACAGAGGCTTCTTGCCCCAGAATGGGTAGGGGAGTTTTGAAGAGCTTTTCTGGACAACAGAATAAGCCAGCTTGTGCTGGAAAGAGGTCTTCATCCATCTAGTGTATGAGATTGATGGCTGGAAGGTAGTCTCTGACCACTGTTCCAGTATCCCTGAAAAGAACCATACCTAGGTGTAGAGTTGATTTTAATCCAGCAACATGGCTTGAAACCAGATAGTGGGGTAGAGAAATCAGCATTTGAATGAACAAGGGTAAATTGTATACACTCCACAAGAACATTATACCAACAGTTTGGTTTGGGTTTTGTTTTTTTAAGACACGGTTTCTCTGTATAGCCTTGTAGCCTTGATTGTCCTAGACTCACTTTGTAGATTAGGCTGGCCTCAAACTCACAGAAATCCACCTGCCTCTGCCTCCTGAATGCTGAGATTGAGAGACCAAAAGATTAAAAATTAGCAGCTATTATTAATATTTAAGGCCTGAACTAGCTGGGTGGAGAAGTCCAGGAATGCCCTGAGGGGAAGAACTGCCTTACTGCATTCTTTCCCCACCCACTAGAGATATAGTTGCTAGGAAACTGGCCCATCCCCCTAGGGAGGGACACCAGATCATTAATGGTCTGGGGACCTTCCTATAGCCAGTCAATTAAAAAAATGTAGCATTTTAACCAATAGATGCTTGCCAGGCAGGAATCGCCCCTGCCTTGGGCATGCTGGGAGGGACCAGAATCTTTAAATCACCCAACTAACCTGAGCACAGGGCTCTGGGCTCTCATTCGGAGGTGGGGGGTGTGAGCCCAAGCTGCAGCTTGTAATGATTTATAATAAAAAATGTATTTACAGCACAGTCTAGTTATTCCTGGTCTTTTGGGGTTTGCGAACTGGGCAGAACAAGATCACAAGCCTGTGCCACTACGCCCACTTTTTTTTTTTCTTTTCAAGACAGGAGTGTGTGTGTGTGTGTGTGTGTGTGTGTGTGTGTGTGTATGTGTAGCCCTGGCTATCTTGGAACTCCCTCAGTAGACCAGGTTAGCATTGAATTCAGAGATCTACCTGCCTGTGCCTCCCCAATGCTAGGGTTAAAGGTGTGCACCACATGCCCAGCTATAATAAGATCTTAGTAGACTGTTCTAGGATAGAAATGCTTCCCTCTACCCGAAATCTGATAACTATTGTCCTAAACTAATAACCAATAGTAGTTGTCTTTGGGCAATTCTGATTGTCACTATACAGTCTCTGAATTAATTATTGTGACATTTTTCAAGATAACTAGTTTCCAAGTTTTCAAATGAAAACTAATTTTTTTTTTTTTTTTTTTTTTTTTTTAATTAGGTTCTGTTCTGACTTCCACATGCCTAGTAAAGGACTTGAAGTGCTAGATGTTTAGGGAGTTTCAGAGCTCACAGGCCAAGTTGTGTGGGCTTGACCCTTGATAGCCAGTCCCTTTCCTTCCCAGACAGGGTTTCTTTTCATTCAGTTTTGTTTTTCCCATTCATTGAAAAAGGGAAAAGGAAACTGAAACAGAAGGCAACTCTGGTTTCTGTAGACTCCGCCTCTTGACAGTCACAGCTCACACTTAAAAGAGCTGACCCAGTCTCTGGCTATGAGAGCTGAGAGCCAGAAGCTGAGACCTGCAAACTCCTCATTTCCTGCAACGGACCTAGTGCTAAAGCCTACAGCCATGGTGAGTACAATTTGACGCTGAGGCAGGTGGGTTCCATTCTAACTGACTTTCCTCTGTTCCTTGATAGGGTCTTCCAGAGGCAGAATAGTCACAGTGTGGGAACAGAGTATAGTTGCTCAAAGCTCACTTCTATGGAGGGACTAGGTTCCTAGTCTGCTTAGCTACGAGTCCTTGATTCCCTTAGGGCTGGACCCAGAAGGATATCTTGGTGAGTGAACTGAAACAATGTGATGGTTGTGGGAGGCTGATCCTTTAGAACTGACTCCTTTGTATCATCCACATACCTGGATGGTTTCCTCTGAGGGAGGAGAGGATGGGGGTGGGACATGGGAGCCCGACCCTATGACCAGTGTTTTGCAAGTAGCTAAAGAAATCTCTAAACCAGTGGTTCTCAACCTGTGGATCACAAATCCTTTGGAGGTCAAGTAATCCTTTCACAGGGGTCACATATCAGATATACTGCATGTCAGATATTTACATTATGATTCATAACTGTAGCAAAATTACAATTATGAAGTAGCAATGAAAATAATTTATGAACTGGGCGTGGTGGCACACACCTGCAATCCCAGCACTGAGAGGCAGAGGCAGGCAGATCTCCGAGTTTGAGGTCAGCCTGGTCTACAAAGTGAGTTCAGGACAGCAAAAGCTACATAGAAAAACACTACCTCAAAAAAAAAAAATAACAAATAATAATAATTATTATTTTATGGTTATGCTCACTTCAACTCAAGGAACTGTATTAAAGGGTTGCAGCATTATATTAGAGTCTGAAGCATTAGGAAGAATGAGAACCAATGCTAAACCCATGTGATGCTTGCAGGCCTGGGACCTAAAGGTGAAGATGCTGGGGGGTGATGAGTTCCTGGTATCCCTGACTAACTCCATGATGGTGTCAGAACTGAAGAAGCAGATTGCCCAGAAAACTGGTGTGCCAGCTTTCCAGCAGCGCCTGGCCCACATGGCTTCTGGTGAGATGCTGCAAGACAGTGTTACCCTTATTAGCCAGGGCCTGGGTCCTGGCAGCACAGTTGTGCTAATGGTACAGAACTGCAGCAATCCTCTGAGCATCCTGGTGAGGAATGAAAAGGGCCGCAGCAGTATCTATGATGTCTGCCTGACACAGACTGTAGAAGTGCTTAAGAGGCATGTGTCCCAGAAGGAGCAAGTACAAGAAGACCAATTCTGGCTGAGCTTTGAGGGAAGACCCATGGAGGACAAACAGCCACTGGGAGAATATGGCCTAAAGCCCCAGTGCACGGTGATCATGCATTTGCGCCTGAGGGGCGGGGGGGACAAGTATGCCTAAGGCCCCTATCCAGAGCAATGTTGGTAATAAAAGAGACTGGGATAAAAAGTTCTGCCTCCTATTTGCTTGTACTCCTTCAGAAATGCCTATCCATCCATGGTGGCAAGGTTCTGGGTTGCTAAGTTAAGAGACAAGGACTTCATAGTTAAAGCCTAGCGAGGAAATTCCCCTTCCAAACTCTTTGGGTAATTAATTCACTTCTAGAGAAAGACACTTTTGCTGGGACCCAGTCCTGAGCCTCAGCCAGCCCCTCAACAACTGTTTCCCATCTCTACTTATGGCTCAGGGACAGGGCAGGGCAGGTCCTTACAGTAACAGGATGAGGCTCCTAATGAGACCAGTTGCTCTTCAGATTCTTTGAAAACAGTGAAGGGAAGTTCTTGGATCTGCCTGAGTAGGCTGTGCATTCTTTTGTGGGTGTTCCTAGTCCCACTTGTCCTAGTCCACAGAGGGTGGGACAGGGTCTCACCACTAACATCAGTCAGCTGCTGTTTAGGAGGTGGTGGTTAGCAAGTATACCTCATCAGGGCTATAGAGAGGCCACTAGTGGCAGGTAGGGGGTCTCACCTGTCTACAAAGGAAATCATATCTCAGATAGGAGGCATCCAATTTGGAAAAGCTTCACCCCCTTCCTGCCTGATGGTTCTTTCTCTTGTCTTTTCTATCAACTTGCTCAGGCTTTGAGTGGCCTAAGGCACCTTTAAGAGAATTTCAGTGGAGACACCCTCTGGTTGGTGTGTTTGTACTTACCTGTATCAGGTGACCCCAGATCTAGTAATGTTGGTGCCCACTGTGTGGATGTGACCTCAAATCTTCATTGACCACTCCCTTCCCTGAAGCCTGCCAGAGTCCTGGGGGTGGAGACTTTCTCAGGAGGAAGGGCTTCTGCCTTTCACAATCCACTCTGGCTTCTGGTTGAAAAGCCTGTGGCCCATACACAGCAACCTCAGTCTTCTCTTCCCTTCCACCTTCTGTAGATCCAGCGCTAGCTTGCCTCCCCTGGGTCTCAGTTTATACCCTGCACCTAGCCAGGCCAAATTGGGTTGGTCCACAAATAGAGAGGTGGGTCGGGGACGTGGTAGGTTTCACAGCACAACTGAGAAGGCAGGCAACGATCAACCTAGGGGCATCCGATGTACTACAGAGCTATGGGGTAGCTGGTAGGCGGGTCTGAGCGCAATTCAGACTAGTCACCACAGACCGGTCACCTGCAGGGGGCGTGGCCTTGCTGGGTCGCCTTAGAGCCTATGGCGGGCCGGGCACTGCTGCAGGGAGCTCTGTGAGCAGTCCTAGCACCAGGCGGACCTAAAGGGCGGAGGGATGAGAGGTCCAGCTTCGTTAGCTTCGCCTGTCCACAGAGCTCTGCAGCTCTCGGCTCCCTGGAGAGCCCCTTGGAAGTCCCAGCACGTCGCCCTAGATTATACATTAACCTTATTTCAGCTGCATTTCCTGGTGGGAGGACAGTTTAGGCGGACGGGGGAGGGGCGCCCGGCGCCACGCCTTCCCCTCCCCCAAGGCGGCCCGCCACCCACCGGGCCGAGGCTCCCGCCCCAGTTCTGCGACGCAGTCTCCGGGCTTTGTTCGCCGCCCGCGCGGGTCGCAGGGAGCGGGGGCGGGCTGAGCTCCCGGGGGAGGGGCGGTGCTGCCTAATTCCCGCCCCTGGCCCGCCCCCACGCCGTCCGCCCTCCCACCTTCTCCGCCTAGCTGCGGTCCAGTTCTGTCCTGCCCCCTGAACAGTCTGGCCGGCGCGCTCTCCTGGCCGCCTTCCGCCATGGCCAGTCTGCGGCGGTGTTTCCCGACCCCGCTGCTACTACTGCTGCTGCTCCTGGTGGTAGCCGCGCGCACCCTGCCCGGCGCCAGCGGGACGTGCCCGGAGCGCGCCCTGGAACGGCGCGAGGAGGAGGCGAATGTGGTGCTCACCGGCACAGTGGAGGAGATCCTCAACGTGGACCCAGTGCAGCACACGTACTCATGCAAGGTGGGCCCCGACAGGACCCCACGAGACCTCAGCCCTCTGGAATCCCAGCCCGGGGCCCTTTTTCCGGTGGTTCCCATGTCTGAGGCCCGCCCTTCGGGTGCTGGCCACCCTGCTGGGACCCTGGCCCCAAGCCGTGGGAACGAGCCCGAAACGCTTTCTGTAGCCCCAGTTCGAGCTCCCTTGGCAACCGCCAAGCCTCCGGGTGGGGCACCAGGTCCCGGAAAACTCTGAAGCTCAGGGCGAAAGTTACTGCGGTGCCGCTGTGGTTCCTCTCACTGTGCCCAGGCCCCAGTTGCAGTAGTGGCTGCCCCCCCCCCCCCCCCCCCCCCCCGTCCAAAACCTGTGTCTTGTTGGAAACAAGTGTACATCCTCGCCAAAGAAAAGGAATAGGGTTTCGGGAGGTGTGAGGTGGGAATGGACTCGGACGGTGGTGAGGCCTTTACCAGGACAAGAAGGTAGTCTGCAGAGAGGAAGGGGTGTGTGGTCTAATCCGCAAGTCTGAGGAGCCTGCGTAAGGTGCTGCAGGGACTGGGCGTCGGGGAGCGGGAGCAGAGGACTATGACTTAGAGTCTACCGTGCATGAGGACAGGGGCAGGTGTTCCGTACTAGTCCTGGAAGAACTGTTTCCCTACCATACTGTAGGAGAGTCAGCTCTGCTTCAACTAAAGCTGAATTTGAGAACACCTTGGAATAGGTATGGCGGGTACCTTCAGCCCCATTGCTGGTTCTCCTAGCCCCTCAAATCACTTCACTAGAAATAGGATTTTTCTTGCTCTTGGGCATGAGAAAGATGGTGACTTCTTTCAGAGTAGTGTGTGTTCATGGGATCCCCCCGCTGGGCCCCCTCCTCTCCCTGCCAAGGCACTTTGCCAAGTCCCTGCAGGATTTTCCCGACTTCCTCCCTGCTGCTCCTGGGTGTGGCTGGGGTGGGGGAGGTGTGAAAATTGTGAGCGTCCCCCGTTTGGGTTATCTCCCACAATAGTTGGGGGGGGGGCAAAGTAGATGAGGTTCTCCAAGTCCTTTAGGTACTGCAGGAGCTAGGCAGATAGACAAGCTGCCCATTGTCTTTTTTTGCTCCTTCCATTCCAAGAGTCCAAACCCCCAGAGCACCTGAAGAAGGGGAAAGGGGCCCCTTCCTTGAACTCCTTTCCAAAAAGTGTCTGGGCTCCTGGACTTGTCCTGTGGGCACTGCAGGTTACTGCCTCCATCCATGTCTGTCAGAGTGGGTGCCCTCCGGGCCCCAAAGGAAAAGGTGGAGGGTGGGGCCGACTTGCATTGCCCAAACTTGACTTTGTTGTTCAGAACTGCCTTAGCTGCACAGACTCAGGCAGACTATGGAGAAAAGAAGTGGGTCTTTACTTCCTGGCAGAGGTGTTAGCCCACACACAGGGTTGTGAAGATCCCAGCTAGGATCTTACTCTTAAGTCCCTTCACCTAAGCTGTCTGGTCCTGAGTGGTAAGTCCTAGCTGAGATGGACCCTTATGGTGGGACTTAGGCTGGTTAGGCTGGGGATGGGAGCACAATTAGGTGGTATACCTTTTGGTGTGTCATCTCATATCCAGCAGATGTCTACTTCACTGCAGCCTTTGCTGAGGGGCAGACTCACAGAACTTTGAACATCTCTGCCCATGGCTGGAGTCCACTGTGAACACTGGCTTGACCTAGTGAGACCAGAGAGGGGACAGGGCCCAAGTGTCTAGTCTGGAACCCTATCCCTTTTTACTTTTACCTCCGTGTCCACTCAGGTTCGAGTGTGGCGGTACTTGAAAGGCAAAGATGTGGTGGCCCAGGAGAGTCTGCTGGATGGTGGCAACAAGGTGGTAATTGGTGGCTTTGGAGACCCCCTCATCTGCGACAACCAGGTGTCCACTGGGGACACTAGAATCTTTTTTGTGAACCCAGCGCCACCCTACCTGTGGCCAGCCCACAAGAATGAGCTGATGCTCAACTCCAGCCTTATGCGGATCACTTTGCGGAACCTGGAAGAGGTGGAGTTCTGTGTGGAAGGTGCGTGGTGAGGGTGTTCCTTAAAGGGCCAGTGGCTTGCTGATAATGACAGAAATTTTATGGGATCTGAGGGTGGGGTACAGAGGACAGCTTGCCACAAGCAGGAGAGTGAACCATCCTGTTGTCTACCTGTGATTCAGCATCACTGCTCCTGGCTTCATCTTCATCCACACAGATTAGACACCCCAAGCTCTGATAGTAGCTGTCTTTGTTTGGTCTTGGAGCCATAAACAAACTGCTGCCCTGCAAAGAGACAGGTGTCTCTGCTTTTTCCCCCTTTTTCCTCAGCACTCCACAGTCCCCCTTGAAAAACCCTTTTCTGCAGAAGTTGGGACCAGGTAAATAAACACCACTTGTCTTATCCCTACAGCAGTCTAAACATGTGCCTGGATTGGACCCATATATTTGAATAAACCCCTGTGGTTAGGCACAGGGGATTGGAAGGTGGGGAACTTTCGTATGTGTTCCAGAGGCCCACATTTTGTAGAACAGTTAAGCTGCCATCCTCTAGAAGGTGACCAAAATCACATGACCATCCAGCTCTCCCCTCTCTCCTCCTCAAGACAGCCTCAGTTGGTGATGGAAATCCTTAGGTGTAAATATGATACAAATTTTTTTTTTTTTTTTTTGTTTTTGTTTTTTTTTTTTTTTCTCACATCGCTAGTATATCCTGTCTGTTCCATATTGGCTGGCTGCAAAGGGTTGAAGGGCTGGGAACAGAAATTTTCTTCTCACGGTAGTGTCAAGGGTCATGACTTCTGGTCCTCTGATGTGATATGTTTGCCAGCCCAGAAGACTTATCTCCTTCCTGTCTGTCTTTCTGCTTTGATGCTTGTTGGCTCTTGGGTGGTGTCTAGAACCAATGCTGGCCTTGGGGAACCAGTGTAGGAGGAGCAGGGCCAGAATGGAAAGCCCTGTGGCCTCTCAGCCAGCTTCTGGACTCTGAGACCCTATCGAACCAGAGATTCTAGCACTGCTATGGAAATTTGTCCTTTGAGAAATTGGAGCAGGAAAGGCAGGGAGGATATGCCAACTTTGGGTTGAGAAGGGGGCTGAAGAGTAGCC